AAGTATAACTTATTTATTAAAACAAGAAAAAATCTATCCACGGTTAGCGAAGATATTAAATATAAAAGGAGATATAAAAGAAGGAGGTCCTATGTTTGTCCGTCTGTATTTTTTACGTATATCTTTGACCTATTTTGCTACTTTTAATTGTATTCTATTAAGGTAGGTACCTAGGTGGTGTCATAAAATTTTCTTTAACACAAAGTCCCATCGACTTACCATCGACTCGAAAATATCTGATTAAGCATTTATATAGTAAATGAAAATCCCTGTTCAGTTACTTTTACTTTTTCGTGTCTGGAAGTTGGTTCTTATTTTAGTTTTTCTAAGTTTTTTGAAATATACTCGTACACACAAAATATACTAATTGTTATATATATTTTTTATAAATCGATATATATTTTATATATAGCTATTTAATATATAAAATATTATTCTTCCCCTTAAAAGATAAATTCTACTTCTTATCTACGAAACGCCATGCAAATGACTGACGTTAAGCAACTTACGGTGTTATTTACTATAATTGTTATTATCATAATTCTGCAAGCGTAGCTTTAGTCGCTCCAAAGCTTGTGTAGTGACGATTTATTTTAAGATGTGTTTATCTTCATTATTCAATGCAATCTCTGTAACTAAGTTAATGCTATCTCTCATAAATTTTAGAGCACGAGGCGGTAATCCCGCCGTCTGTACGCTGACGTTTCATTTTAAGTTTCGTTCGTCTTGTCTTGTATATGTACTATAAGTCTTTGTTTCGTTTATATGTTAATCTCACGCTAGTTCATGCTGTAATTATGCTCGTAAGTTTTGCTTTTTGTTTTCTATATCGTGAGTACGATTTGATAACATATTGTTGGTTTCCATCACTCTATTATATATGGTTATCAATCGTGATGCTTGGTGTACTACGTGTGTATATTATTAGAAATGGCTATTTCCATATTAATAATAGTGTAATAATAGTTCAGATTTGCTTAACATGCCACTGCTGGCCACGGATATCCCGTCAACGAGAGGGAACAGGCCGTAGTTCACCACGCTAGCCAAATGCGGGTTGGAGGACTTCAAAGTAGATTTTTTATGTTTTTTATTAGAATTAGGTAAAAGATCAGAAACAAATGCTCTTAATAATATTAAAAAAGATAAATTTATTTCGTAAAAAATATTTTTTATCCGATAAAATATTGGTGAAGATCGATCGTACTTCGAATTTGAGACTAAAAATTCCTTTTTTAGCAGTATATTATATCTCAAATTCAGTCATGATATACTATTTTATTACAGTTTTCAAGTTACGCTTTATTTTATATGGGAATAAAGTATTTCGAATTATATATTTTTAAACTATAACATGATTGTTACATAGTAGTTTAACTACCAAAATGGCAAAAGCCTTTCGAAATAAAGAAAACTTTAAAAGTTTCCAGACTAATTGTGATAAAGTTTCGTGAAGTTGTATAATAATAATAACACGATCGTTTGAGTCAAAATAAGTACAAGTTAAATTTCTGAAACAAAGTAACGAATAACTTACAAGCATATAAATATTTTCCTACCTTAGCAACCCCACGCTGCTTTGCCTGGATATTATTATGATTATTTTATGTTTTTGAAGTGTAACTTCTTTAGAATCGTTGTGATTTGAATCTCGATGAAACGAAAATGCGACACGAGAAAGAGACAAACACATAAATATATAGGCGAGAGAATGAGATAGAAAACATTACACGCCATTATGACTAATTGTTGCCATAATAACCGTTGGTATTGTCTGACAAATGATATATAATATTATATTCTTTCCGTATTTATTATAAATATATGATTTTATAGAAATAAATATATGATTGTAATATGCCTAATATACCTTATTTAATTATTGATTTTTTTTTTAATTTAATTGCGATATTTGGCAAAGACGTTTAACGTCAATCGCGTAAAGGTTACACGCTCCCAATTTTTTAATCTATTATTTGTTCAATTCAATTTTCTTGTCAATGGCTTCAGCTTTCATTAATTATAAATTATAATTTATAAAAGTTTTGATGAAAATTTGTTTAAAAAGCTTTTATTAATTGTTATAGTCTTCAAAGTCTAAAACTACAAGAAATGTAAGTAATAAAAACATGCAAGTTTTTTTTTTTTTTTTTTTTTAATCTTTATTTTTTTTTTAACATGGGAGTTTGAGTCGTGGCATTGACTATGTCACCCCCGTACAACATCTGACTTAATAAAAATCTAAACTTAATAAAATTTAGTTCCAATTTCATTAATGGAGTAACTTAGCTAATATAATCGCGTTGCTTGACAGTGGTGTAGCCAGTATGCTGTTACATATACCCACATTATACGATTTTAACACAAGTGGCCTTAATTCTTCGTTTCGCACACATTCCATTAGAAGATGATATATATCATCGATACAGTTACATTGTGAGCATTTATCTGTATTAGATATACCCATCAAAAACTTAAACTTATTTGAAAGAATGTGCCCGGAACGCAGTCTCAACAACGATACTATCTGTTTTCTTTTTAATTTAGATCTGTCAAACCAAGGGTAATGAGGAAGCTCATTTACAATTGTTTTATACCATATACCTTTATACCGTGATCGCTCGTCAAAATATTCTTGCCAATTACGTTTGCACATTTCTTTTAATTTAATTAAAATATCATTATATAGAGGAACACAATCGTAAGGAATCCCTTCGCTAATAGCCTGTTTGGCGGCCCTGTCTGCTTCCTCGTTACCCTCAAGTCCAATATGGGACGGTACCCATTGAATAAATACAGTCTTACTTTGAGATTCGATTTCATAAATACACTGTAAAATATTATAGGCTATCGGATATCCTCGAACAGTCGAGGTTAGCCGAGCCAAATGTAAAAGGGCGCTTTTTGAATCAGACAGTATAACGAACTTTCTTTCTGAACATGACAAAATAAACGATAGTGATTCAAGTATGGCAATTACTCAATGTGCATGATCGAAATATTTACATTTATTTTAAATTTCATAGTACCTTTGGTTTGAGGATCAAAAAACGCGGCACCTGCTCCATATTCATTTTTAGAGCCATCAGTATATAATTTATAGCAGGAGTTATATTTGTCATGTAATAGCGCTCGACATTGATTTAGCACATTAAAATGTCTCGATGATGACTTACACGCGGTGATACCTTCGACAGCAGGAGAAATATTTTTGGAAATGTCAAAAAACCCAATCCACATAGGGAGAGAATATATGGTAAGCTTTTTTTCAGATGTAATAGGGTATTGATTTAATTTTCGGTATAGCAAAATAAGTAACGGTAATTTTTTTCGTCTCCAGAATTGATTGTTACAAATGCTATTGAGTGTTTTTAATTCATTCATAGTTATGTTTTCACTAAAAGACACTGATTTTAATAAATATTTTCCAGCTAGATATTTTCTTCGAATTTGTAAAGGTTGAAGGCACAACTCGCTCTCCATTACATGGATCGGTGTAGTTTTAATAAAGCTACCAATAACTCGCATACAATGGTTTTGTATTTTATCTAGTTTTCTTAAATGACTATTTATACTGTTATCATACAAAAAGCTCCCGTACTCTAATCTACTGCGTATTAATGCTATATATAGTCGCCTCAAATGTTTTGGATGAACCCCCCATTTGCTACCGGCCAAGAACCTAAGGATGTTAATAAATTTTAACGTTTTATCTCTGACTTCATTAATATGTCTTCCCCATTTTAAATTGCTATCTAACCACATACCCAAATATTTTACACTGTTTACTTGTTGTATAGAACTATTATCTATATTTACATTAATACTAGTTCTAGGCTTTCGTCTATAAAAAATACATATTTTACTTTTACTATAGGATATACTTAAACCAAGGTCTTCTATTAATTTACAAAATACACTCAATGCAATCTGAATATCGCTGTACGCTGTATTCACGTTTATATTAGAGCTATAAAGAACAAAGTCATCTGCATATTGAGATATAAATACATGGTTAATATATTTACAAATTTTACTAGTAGCAATATTGAATAACAAAGGGGACAATGGGTCTCCCTGTGCCAATCCCATTCTTGTTGTTCGAGATATTTCTTCATGCTCATTAATATGCATAGTTAATTTTCTATTATTAAGAAATTGCCATAGGTATTGACACAAAGATGATCCTATCCCAACATCATCCAAAATTGCCATAAGACTAGATATGTTAATATTACTATATGCATTATCTATATCAATAAAAAGACCTACTGTCGGGATTCCACTTGTGAATCCCATCTGAATGCGAGTAACTAGCCTAACCAAGTTGTCGTAACATGATCGTGACCTTCTAAATCCTATGGTTTCATTAGAAAAATAATCATTCTTTTCAACAAACCATTCTAACCTACGTGTAATAATTAAATGTAGTAACTTACATATGCAAGATAATAATGCGATAGGCCTGTACCCTGTTGAAGAAGTACAATCCCTTCCAGGTTTTGGGATGGGAACAATCTTAACACTTCTCCATTGCAATGGAATGAAGCCATCTGTTAAGAATCTATTATACAGTTCAATAAGTATATTTTTCCCTGAAGCTGGAAGATTGTTAATCATTGAGTAGGTCACACCATCAATACCTGGAGCCGTGTCTGATTTTTTGTAACAATTGTTTAGTTCTTGTACAGAAATGGGGGTCAGTAATTTTGAATTTCTAGACTGAAAAATTGGGGAAATAGGAGCGACAGAGTCCGGTGCTAGTTCACATAATAAGGATTCAGCAATATTCCTATCTATAACAAATCTAGGTGTTCTGAAACCTTTAATCCATTTCATACGTGACCACATTTCTCCATAAGAAATTTTACTGTCGATACCATCACAGAATTTTTCCCAAGATTTACCTCTACTCCGCTTAATCTCACGTTGTGATAGCCCCACTTTTTCCTGCAAATCCATAAGATTAGTAGGAGTCGGATTTTTCCTAAATTTTGCTAAAGCCAATCGTCTTTTCGCCACAACGTGAGAGATATATGGTGACCAGTAAGGCTTAGGAATAATTTAGATGCACTCATTGGACACATACAGATATTAATGTATGGAATAGCTTCGTCTGCAGCTGCGTTAATAGTGTTGATAAAAAAATTATATGCCTCTTGATTATCTATTGGGAGTGTACACCTATTAAGTTGTCTTTCGACAGATATGCTATACTTTGTCCAATCAGCTTTTTTGAAATTTCTTTTCCTGGCCATATTATAAAAACTTGAGTTGGTTTCCACTTTCATTTTTATCATTAAATGGTCACTGCCTAAATTTTCATTCATGATGTTCCAATTAAATTTAATTGCAATATCTTCTGTAACTAAAGATATATCTGGAGAAGACTTTTGTATTGAGCCATTAACCATTTTCAAACGAGTGTCCTGACAGTCATTGAGGGAAATAAAGCTAGATTCTAATAATGAATCATAAATTTGTACACCTCTGGCATCGCTTTTACAAGACCACATACAATGATGACCGTTAAAGTCTCCCGCTAACACTGTTCCTTGTCTAAATTTTGAAAATATTGAGCTCCAGTCTTGAGGCAAAGTATTAACTGCAGGTGGACAATATAAAGATATAATATTTTCTATATCTCCGCAATTAAATATTTTAACATATACACACTCTATTCCTGAATTTTCAATGTTGAATGGCAGTTGTTGAGCTTTAATGGACCAGTGTACAATAATGGCCACTCCACCATAACCATCTCTGCGATCTGATCGAAAAATTTTGTAACCACTTATGGCCAGAAAACTATTTGGGTCAAGCCATGTCTCACTCACAATGGCGATGTGTATTTTTTCCTGATTCAGGAGTAGTCCGAATTCTGTTAATTTGGGTCTCAAGTTTTGTGCATTCCATTGTATAATATTTAACTTGTGTTCGTTATTTTTAAGATCCATGTTCCGTAAAGAGCTTAAAGCATGGCCAGTTTGTAATATATTTGATAATAAATGTTAACACATATTTGAATATTATATTAATGCATGCATTCAACTTTTCTTCCCATTTTAAAGTATTATCCACAATCTTTTCCCTTAATTTTTGAAGTAACACTTTCCATTTGTCGTCTTCGTTATTTTGGATTTTGTCTCCATCTTCATGTTGTTGTCCCAACTCTTCTTCATTTAGATTACTCTCTGGTTCCGATAAAAATTCTATGTCTTCTATAATCTGTAAATTAACGTTCTCTGTTGTCTTTTGTTTGTTCGCTTTAACTGATTTATATGTAGACGTATTACTAGTTGATTTCTTCTTTGACTTTTTATGTGATACTTTTGTTGCTTCAGCATAAGACTTTGAAGTAATAGGCTCTTCTATAACCGCCTCGACTTCTAAAGGAACATTCATTGTTATAACTTGATCATTACTAATTGTTGGGAAGGATTTCTCTACTATAACAGGCAATGGAGGAGGACTAGGCGGCACATATATTGTTAAAGCTTTTTTATATGTGCAACAAAATTCTGACATTAGTTCGCGAATTCTTTTTTCTTTAATGTAAATGGGACAAATTTTAGCCATTGCCATATGATTTCCTCCACAATTATTACAACTAAACGAAGTACGATCACATGTTTGGTGATTCTCACCACATTTTGGGCATATAGTTTTATGAGAAGGACAAATTTTATTTATATGGCCATACCTCCAACAACGAGTGCACTGTGTGACAGGAAATACATATGGTGTCACTCTTATTAAAGTATCGAACATCTTGATTTGTGTAGGTAAAGAAGAACCTTCAAAGCAGATTCTCATCGCTTCACTTGTCTCCCATCTTCCATCATATTTATTTTTGCGTTTAAGTCTTTTAATTTCCAAAATCTTTGTAGTACTATATAAACTCTCCAAAATTTCTTCGTCTGAACGATCCAAATCAATATCTTTAATTACTCCATATACTCGATTAATTTCCATTGTTTTATAAGTATTGTATCCCATTTCATTGAAATATTTTGAATTTACTAATTCTTCTGCACTTTCTTCTTTATCAAACTCAATCAGTACTTTATATGAATTAATATACTTAACCCGCACAACATTTTGTATTTTTTCTGCTCTTAGTAATTTCGCTAGTTTAAATTGTTTTGGTAGTTGTTCCTTACATATAATGCAAACCTCAATCTTCTGTTCTCTTGTTTCGCTATTACCATTTGAATCCCCTGCCAGAGCGAAACGCTTGCCTTTCCTTTGCACGGTGGTCCAAACTTCTTCCATATCATTATCCCTATTCCTCTTACTTGGTCTACTGATACCATGATGATTAGTCTGAATGGATAAGCTATCTTCTTCTAGAATATCTTCCTCTCTCGATATATCCGCGCGGACGTGAAACTCCAACTCGTCTGTATCATTAGACTCGTTTGTAGTCATATTTCTTCTTATATTTAAACGCAGTTAACATAATAAGCTAAGTTATAATGATATAAAGAACACAGAGACTTGAAGAAACCGGTTTTAGCGATACAACGATAACGCGTCTAAAGCCGACGAGCGTTTACGCACCCATGCAAGTTTTATAATAAACTTTTTCAGAGTGAAAATTAGTTATTTTATTCGGCGGCGGGAGGTGGCCATCCTCGGGGGGCGGTGTACTTTGCGGGTTGCTCCTGGTACTTCTCTGATAGCAGAGTGGACCTTGGAGCAACCCCATGGTTGTAGTGGTCTGCTTCGGCAGACCTGCCGTCGGGGCGTCGTAGTTGAATACGTAAGCGATCCTGCGACGCCCCATTAAGACGGGGGAAGGTTTTGTTGGGTTTTAGTGGGTAGTACTGGCTGTATTACTCCGGTGAGTCCCACACATCGTGCGTAAAGACATTTCCCAACGTTAAAAAAAAATACACTGTATGTGGAGTAACCTATTAAGGTTAACATGTGCTTTCAGTAATGAGAGCCACAATGCATTTCATTTATTTTTCATCTTTAATGACGTAATTAAGCAAAATCTCAACTCGTCCGAACTCGATTTTATAACGTTAATTGCATATTTTAATTTTAAGTACAAGTCAATCAAGTAAATAAATTACATAAGGCTTAATTTAAAATCTGTTTTTGTGGTAAGATTCATTTTGGAATAATTTGTGTCGTGGTTTTGCTGTTGCCTCATAAAACTGAGTTTTTGTAACAATATTCTAGTTTTTTTTTTCAATGCAAGTTTTTTTTGGAAAATGAACTAAAAGGAACCAACTTCAAAAAGTTTCTAAAGAACTAAAATATAATTTATTTATTTAATTTCTTAGAGTGTGCTCAGATGAAGTGATTATCCTAAAAAATTTAAATGGCTTTTATTTTTTTGTCCATCGGCTTTTAGTCGATCCATCGATCGAATGGAACTTTAAAAAAATGAAATTTAAAAAAAGAAAATTTGATATTTCAATAAATTATTTAAATCAAATTCTTTTGACAAGTTTTAATTTTTTTTTACATTTATTTTTGAAGTGAGACTATAGTGACACTTCAAGAAATAATATAAACTCTTGATTTTTGGTTCCCGACGTTTCGAATGCTTTACAGCAATCATGGTCACGGGAGATGCTAAGGTTTTAGATGCCTCAAAGGTATTGTATACTTGTTACAGACAGCTACAAAATAACAAAATGAATTAAAAAAAATTAAAATGACACCAAAGTAACATACCTTACAATATTTGTTATTTTAATTTTATAATTTTAATAATTTTTATATGTAATTGAATATGGAATATTATTAATTTAATTTTAGCTACTATTATAATTATTACAATTTTGAGAGAAAAATATTAATTAGTAATCAATATTTAGTGTTTCCATTATTATTTATAAACATAAAGAAAAATAAAATATTAATTTAATTATTCTATGTGTAATTTAAAAAAGTTAAAATTAATTGAGAAGAATAATAATTTGAATTTAGTTTGTTATTATTTAAAATATCTAAATATTAATGCAAGATAGTATTATGTGAACTTCTAATCATTTAATTGGTAAATAACAGTCTAATTGAAATGAAAACAGCTTAAAAAATTGGGACATAACAACATTTGATCTCGTTTTTTTCTTAGGCGCACTTTCTGTCACAAATATGACGTATGCAGTTTTTATTTTTATTTCTAAATTCCATTATCAAGTCAAAAAACCAAGTTCGTGAAACTTTTAAAAGAAAATATATGATCAACTATCTAGTATCCATAACACGAGCCACGTACTCGTAGCTTACCATAGAACTAAATGGTGCTGTGTATTAATGTTCTAATATATTTAATTTATTTCAAAAAACTATATTATGTAAAAATTGATATTATTTGACAAAATATATATTATAAATTTTGTATTCATCTTATTATCTAATGAACTCATATATGATGTTTGTGTACCTATACATATTCTTTGTTTTGTTCTAAGTTGTTACTCAAAAATCACTTGTACTTGTAATTCTTAACTCCAGACGCAAAAACAACGGGGTCTCATATATTTAACGTGTCTGTATGTGTCTGTCTGTGGCATCGTAGCTCCCGAACGGATGAACCGATTTTGTTTTTTTTTTTGTTTGAAAGCTGAATTAGTCGGGAGTGTTTTTTGCTAAGTTTGATGAAAATAGGTCCAAGATGGTCTGTTTTTTTTAATTTTTTAATTTATCACATGTTTCTCATTCAGTGAATGTTATTCTTTCGAGAAATAAATAAAGCATCTTCAAACCGAAATCTCACGACTTTTGAGCAGTACTTTCAGTTGCATAACGGCATCACTAATTATTTTATACAGAAAAAATTTGATCGAGCATCGTTGAATTTCGTTCATCAGAAGGCCGTAATACATTCTGTTACACCAACGGGCTATTTACCCTTATCTATTATTAAATCCTTCCCAAACCAGCCTGGGTCCATTTTCAATTACGTCACAAGCTATTAACGTGTTGTATTTGACACCACCAGACCGTCAGTATGGAAATACCTTTATTTGTAGTGAAAGGTATAGAGAATGTATTAAGTAAACAGTAAAAGGGAACCTCTAACAATAGTATACAAAAGGAGCTACTATTAAGAAATTTTGTAATAATGATTTTCTGGCATGGAATACTTAATAATATTCAAATTAGACATTTGATTACAATAGATCTATTTATAGATAAATTGCAAATATCGATATATTGACCTTTAATCGTTAAAGTACCAATTATATTAGGTTTTTTTATGGTGCTTAGTGATAAACGAGCAGATAGCCCACCTGATGGAAAGCGGTATCTATCGTTCATAATACCTACTGCTCATGCACTTAGGTTTTATGTTACAAAAATGCAGAACCACAGGTGCGTTATCACTGTGAGCACAAAGATGATATGCCTCTTGCCTGTAATTGAGCTGGCTACCTTATCCTTCAAACAGGAAAAAAAAGCAATCATTGTAGCTTGCTTGGGAAGAGAAATAGATAAGGGGTTGGTACCCATCCAGTCGGACATCTCAGGCTTGACAGAGTCCTACCACCGGTAAAAAATATTTCATTTTTCACTAGCAGTGGACTGTAATTTTGCCCGGATGTTTTTTAAATTTGGTTTTTAAGGTTTCAGATCCTTTAAAAAAATCTAATTTTTAATGTTATAATGCAATTAATATAGGCAATTATTTTTCCATAGAAAAGAAGATTTTTAAATTATTATCTTTTAAATCGCACACGTATATCCTTCTTCAAAGTCAACAACTGATTTCCAGACAAAACTATAGATAATTTACTACAGATAATTAAAGATTATGGTTTTCAAATGGAATATGAAGAACTAATTTCACATGAAAATGAACGAGCATAATTCTAAATATCCTAGACATGTTTCTGAATCAATTGTGCGGTTTGCAAAATTCATGATATAAGATAGCGACGTGCAATCGCAATCTCCTGTGGAGTATCATTTCCGTTGTGCACATAGTACATACATATGTACGTGTATTCCAGAACGTTCTATATTTTTTAATGGGTTAACCTAAAGCAAATAATTCCCTAAAATATATTTTGACACTAGTTTTCGTTCGCGACCTTGCTCTTTTATTATCGACTAGCGACTCATCCTCGCTTCGCTCTGGTTCGTCCCTAGCTCGCTTCCCAATACAAACTTTCATCCCCATTTTCACCCCCTTTAGGGATGATAAAAAGTGCCCTATGTCCTTCCCGGAGTGTTAAACTATCTTCTTACCAAATTTCATCTAAATCGGTTCAGTAGGTCCAGAGATTACGGCCGACAACGTCACAAACTCACTATCTCACAAACTCACAAACTTTCCCTCTTTATAATATTAGTATAGATTAACAATTAGCGCAATACGAAAGTTATTTTAAAAGTTCCAAAGTATGACCTCTATATATAAATAAAAAAATTGTAAGTATCATATTTGTAAATATATTATTTGTTCCTTTCCTTTCCAATTTTTTCTCTCTATTATTTTTTTATTTTAATTTAAGAAAAATGACACTTTATCTAACAGAATAGTTTTGTATTAAATAATGTAGTTGCAATGAAATGGGATTATTGGTTCTGTTTTTTTTACTTTTCTTTATATTTCTTAATGGTGTTATATAATATGTAATCCATTCCCTATGTAAAAGAGATTACAACGTGCTTCCTTAAAAAGAAGCCACGCTAGTAAAAATATGGTAATAAAAATATATATTAACTAATAAAATATTACTTTATATAAAAATCTAACCAGATATCTTCGAAATGCTTAGATTAAGCTAAGTTAATCGGTTTTACTGAACATTTGATTCATAGTACTAAATGTACAATATTTCGTTACATGGTTGACTAAGACAATGCAATCTATTGCTAAGTACTCTCTTGTTTAGCAATCTTCAGTGTTATATACAGACATATATGTATGTTTATGTATATCTACATCATATAAGAAATCGTACAGAAATCATGCACAATTGCTACTTTGGTTAAAAGTTATTAAGCCTTTTAATTTTTTTTTTATAATTTTACAAGTAAGCTGACCCTAAATACATCGTTTTGCCTGAATTACAATAAGAGTAAATTGGCATGTTTTAGTTTATAAAGAAATCTACAAAAAACAACAAACAAAATGTTCAGGCTTTTCCAATTTTTTTTCTTCTTAAATAAACCTTAGTAGGATTATTGTAGATATACCTACTAAAATATATTAATATATTTGTAATTTCAATAGCCATAGTTCCATACCCGAAGGATGACAGCGGAACCTTATTACTAAGCCTCCGCTGTCCGTCCGTCTGTTAGAGGGCTGTATCTCATGAACCGTAATAGGTAGGGAGTTGAAATTTTCACAGAGTATGTATTTCTATTGTTGCTATAACAACAAATAATAAAATATAAGAAACATTTTTAACGTTAAATATATGTACGATAGTACAGAAACCTTCGTGTGCGAA